CGGCAGGAGGCGTCGCTCCGAGCCCGGCCGGACCCCGCGAGCGGCGCGGCGGCGGCGGCAGAGTTTGGGCCGGCGGTTTCCATGGAAGGTGTGAGCGGCCGGGAGTGCCAGACGACCCGGGCGTCACGAGGTGTGAAGGCTGGCGCGGCCGTGTCGCTCGCCGCGGCGGCCGCAGGAAGTGCCCTTCCGATCTTTATTTTTCTGCTGTACACAGTGATTGAGGAACTAGGTTCTAGTGGGCGCCCCGCTCCGTTTCCCGGTCCCTTCTCCCCAGTTTTGTTTCCGAGTTTGACGAAGAGCAGTAATAGGAAACGGTCTGTGCGCTCGCGTGTGTGCGTGCGAGTGTGTGCGTGCGAGTGTGTGCGTGCGAGTGTGTGCGTGCGAGTGTGTGCATGCGAGTGCGTGCATGCGAGTGCGTGCGTGTGTGGGGGGGGACACGTTTAAGTTAAATTGGTTCAGTGTCTGTTTTGCCTTGGAGCGGGGTGTGATCGCAGTGGCAGTGCGTGTGCGTGGAGGGAGGCACAGGCCGGCTCGGTGTGGGCAAGACGGGAATACCACGGTCTGTGCCAATGGTGCCTTGAGGCAGGAGCACTGAATGATGAATAATAACGCCTGGCCTGGCTGCTCTCCAGCTGATTTATGTCTCACGTCAGATCTCCCCTTCTCGGAGCTTTCCCTAACAATGCCAGCTCACGCTGAACTCTTCTTTTTCTACTTCTTTCTTTTGTAGTCGGATTTTTTCTTACATGCCATGCATGCGTACTTGTTTTTCTGAGTTTGATTATTATGCACTGTTTATCAATTAATGAATCTGTACAATTAGACCTTCAACACTCATTTTTCTGAGACTGGGTTTTTATTTTTTTGTTTTTGACCCACAGCCAAGAGCAAGGCTTGTAATGTTTGCTTTCTCTTCAGTAATTCAGTCAGCAAAATGTTTATGGAATAGCCACTGTGTGCATTGTGCCAGGCACTGCACTGACATCGACGGTGTATGCTTGATTCAGTCGTAGGCCTCTGCATCACAGATCTCTTTAGTCTGCTGTGCAGAGCATTAATTGCTCATCACTATCCTTCCTCACCTGGCATACTCTCAGTACATAGTTTCAATTTTCATTTTTTAAGACAGTCTCATCCTTCGAAGAACGCACTTTTTTGTTTCTTTCTGTAGTTCATTCAAATCCGGTGTGTGATTTTTCAGTTAACATGGCTTTATTTGCTTTTAAAAAATGAGTATGTGTAACTTTTCTAAAGAGAAGGACCAGGAGGCCCTTTCAGTATTGTGGAATTGTGTTTGGTTTCTAACACAGTATGCAGTGGTTAGTGGTAGAGCAAAACATTGAGTGGCAATGCTTTTGGCGACTGCAGAAGTAGGCCTTTAACATTCTTGGGGAAATATGTTGGAACTACCTGAATACAGAAATGCTTAACAGGCCTCTGGCTTGTCTCCCATTTGTAACATTTCAGTTGAGAGCCCGTTTCCTGTATACACCTTTACTCTCCAAAATCATTCATTATTTAACTTTGAAGTTTATCCTTCATTTGATGCATTTCTTTTCTCTATTAAGAAATTAAAATTTGGTCATGAGACAAATGATCGGTAAACTGTGCAGAGAGAACCACAGAGCTGGATGGGGCTGTGGTTTCCTTGCTGTTGTCACCTGAACACAGTTATTTGTACCGTCCTGCTCTAGCCCTACAGTGAGAATTCACGATCAGCTAAATTACAAACTCTTGTGTATTAAGTCTAGAAATAAATGCCAAAGGCATGTTGAGAGTCACTCTGTCTCGTCTACCTTTATCTGTTACAAGCCTTCAATGGCTCTATAGCTGCTTTGGAGCTTTCATTTCTCAGTAAAAGTTAAAATTAAACTGTAAAGACTGTAGCTGAAGAGTGATTTCAGAGACTCAGTACCAGCACAAAACAAAATTTCAAAACAAAGTACCGATGATTAATACATTGTGTATTGTTACTTTTAATTTAATTACTCAGAGTACGAGCTATAGGTATTTAATCATCCAAACAATATTAGCACAAACCTTTCTTTTCAGTGAACTAAGAAATTAGTATAACTGACTTGTGTGTGTGTGTAAATATACACTTTTCCCTTCATTTGTTCTTTCTCTTATCCCAGTTTCTCATTCCTTTGGAGCAGTTTCTTCCCATTTTACAATATCTATTGTACATTTTGTATCTAATTTACTCTTTCAGCTTCCCACGCTAGGGAGATAATATGATGTTTGCACAAGTGCATCTGGTTTATTTCACTTATGAGTATGGTCTTGAGTTGCATCCTCTTACCTATAAAAGTCTCCACCTTATCCTTTTTATGGCTGAATAGTACTCCATTGTATAAAAAGAGCACATCTTTTTTATCCATTCCTTGGCTGATGGGCATTTGGGTTGTTTCCAAGATCTGGCTATTACAAATAGCACAAAACATTTTAATGAATGAATGGGATTGTGTTTGTAAATGATTGTCTTTCTTCCTTTCCTGGTAGGATTTTTAGACTCTGAGGTGTACAGTTGGAGCTAACCCACATCATGGACATGGAAACCACTGAACCTGAGCCAGACTGCGTAGTGCAGCCTCCCTCTCCTGATGACTTTTCATGCCAAATGAGACTCTCTGAGAAGATCAGTCCATTGAAGACTTGTTTTAAGAAAAAGCAGGATCAGAAGAGATTGGGAACTGGAACCCTGAGGTCTTTGAGGCCAATATTAAACACTTTGCTAGAGTCTGGCTCACTTGATGAGGTTTTTAGATCTGGAGACCAGAATGCAGATGAGAGCAGCTTACATGAACCTATGGTGAAAAAACCCCTGGAAATCAATCCGTCCTGCCCACCCACAGAAAACAGTATGTCTGTTCTGATTCCTGATGGGACAGATGTTGGGGGCCAAATACCAGAAGCCCATCCTTCCACTGATGCTCCAGAACAAGTGGTTCCAATCCAGGATCACAGCTTTCCGCCAGAAACCATCAGTGGAACAGTGGCAGACTCTACAGCAGGACACTTCCAGACTGACCTTTTGCACCCAGTTTCTAGTGATGTTCCTACTAGTCCTGATTGCATAGACAAAGTCATGGATTATGTTCCAGGGGTTTTCCAAGACAACAGTTTTACAATCCAGTACATTTTGGACACCAGCGATAAGTTGAGTACTGAGCTCTTCCAGGATAAAAGTGAGGAGGCTTCCCTTGACCTCGTGTTTGAGCTGGTAAACCAGCTACAGTATCATACTCATCAAGAGAACGGAATTGAAATTTGCATGGACTTTCTCCAGGGCACTTGTATTTATGGCAGGGATTGTTTGAAGCATCACACGGTCTTGCCATATCATTGGCAGATCAAGAGGACGACTACTCAGAAGTGGCAGAGTGTATCCAATGATTCTCAGGAGCACTTGGAAAGATTTTATTGTAACCCAGAAAACGATAGAATGAGAGTGAAGTATGGGTATGTATTCAAATAGTTTATAAGACTGTTAAATAATCTAGAGAAAAAGAGGCTAAAAGCTTAGTATGGTGCTTTCTTTCAGTAGGAACAGGTTTTATTCTTTTTTCGTCTGTCATTCTTTTGGCTTTATGGTACCCTGATTTTTCATGGTGGTTGAATGCAGGCTATTTACCTAACCAAACAATGAAGGTTTTATGATTTCAACAATTCAGTTGTCATTCTAGTCAATATGCATGTGACTGAGAAGCTGCACATATATTGAGTGTTGTAAATCAAATACTATTTTAATCACACAAGAGAACTTGCTTTTGAAGGAAATCCATGGTGAATCTTATAACGTAATGAATATGTGATTTATTTAAGCTTATATTTTTGCATGTTGACTATCCGTTCTTTTTTTTTTTTTTTTAAGGAAAATAATACTTGGAGATTTTCATGATGTAAACATTATGAATGATTTAGAAGTTCTTCCCATATTTATGAATTATGCCAAAATGCATTAAATCTCTTCTTTCCTTAAAGCTGTGTATCACTGATTTTATAAAGTAAATTTTTCCACAATTCGAACTAATTTTTTTTTAATTCTGAAAGAATCTAGGGGCTGGGGATTTAGCTCAGCGGCAAAGCGCCTGCCTGGCAAGCGCAAGGTCATGAGTTCGGTTCCCGGTACCGGAGAAAAACCAAAAAAAAAAAAAAAAAATGAAAGAATCTTCACAGTGAGTGAAGGGAAGACTTAAGCTAGCAACTGTCTTTGAACTTTGGTTTGCAAGACATGTATATTCATACTATGTACATACACACATAAAGTTCTATTAGCATTATTGTCTAAGCAGGATTCATTGACAGAGCTGACATTTCCACATCTCAGGTTTTCTTCATTTGAAGGAAATGGTAGTTGCCACAGGTAAAGTTGCTAGTGTAAAAATGGTTATATAGAAAACTTCATATTTCTAAGTTGTTTCTCTGGTTAAAGTGTGTGATGTTAAATTGTATATGGGTAAGAGTACAGAATTAAAATTATAAAGGACTTCCATTTGGAGATCATGAGGGCAATCTGGCAGCGTCATATACTGAAAGATTTTGTAGTATACACTGTGTAGTACTGAGAAGCATGACGTGCAGGGAGAAAAAACATACTAAATATTCTAACCTAGAAATCAGGAGAAAAATTTCCTTGAGAGTCATCTTTGTTTACAAATAAGTACTCAAGTATCTAGTCAGCAAATGGTGGCTGTAAACCATTCACAAGTTGTCTGATTTTTGTGAGTTTTGATGCTAGCATTCTGTACTCTGACACATGCCAGAGCATTGTTGATACAATGTTGACATCAAAAAATGACATTTTTTTTTCTTATTCTGATTTAATATTGGATAAGTGGTTTGCTTTTAGTATTTCAGTATTTCATTCACATAGTACCCAGGTCTGCGTGTCTTAGCAATTTATCATGAAACTACAAGTTTTAGTCTAGTTTTTCAAAATGGAAACAACAAGCAAGATAAATTATGTAAGGCCCAAGTTCAAAGGAGTATAGGAGACCCTTGAGAAGAAAGTAAGGTCATATCAAGAATATGGTGTTCCTGAGTATAAATGTATTCTCATAATCTGTTAAGATTCTGCCTTGTTAGGTTTGCAAAAATCTTAAGAATAAAAGCTCTGTTCTTTTAACTTATTTTTGAACACCAACACTGGAAAGGAAAAATATTTCTCATTGTTTCTTAAAATTTTTTAAAATTTTTGTCCAAAATTTCCGTTGCCCTGAGCTAGCGATTCTGATTGCTAAGTTAAAGGCAGTTAATTTTATACACTCTTAAAGCCACCTTGGTCCTTTCATTTCCAGCTTGTAAAAACTCTGCATAACAGTGGTCTCACGTTTTCTTCTCATGAAGCAAATTTCCAGTCTGCTGAGTATTGAGCATCCTAGTGCATGAAGTTTCTGTTTGAATTGGTCAGCAAGCAACTAACAAGATTATTGTACAACACATTACATTCTGTTATCATGAGCAAGACAGAATAGTTATTTTGATCCCAGAAGATCCAGGAATTCTCAGGTCACAAAAATGTTGTGTATATTTATGCTTACATAGATACAGGCCCATAACGTACATTGTTGGATCAATTATAAGTGGGTGCTTAATTTCCAAGTCAGGTTTAATGAAGTAAACTAATATTTGTTTGACACTTAGTGAAAGTGTGTGTGAGTTACAGTTAGCGTAATTCTGTTGCTATTACATTGTAGTGGTTCTCTTCTGATAAAATAGTATGAACTGTTAATTACTAGAGAAGTGAAATTCTCAGTGAACTACAAGAAGAAATGTAAGATTGTAAATTGCAAAGTGTCAAAAATTAGGCTTTGGGGAAGTTGACCTGTGGTCATTGCAACCTGGTTTTCCTTGTATTCCAAAGCGATGTTGTGTTTCCTGGCAACAAGATGCAGATAACGGCATGTTGAGCCTTGCTGAGAGATTCACAAACAAGCTGGAGCAGCCCAGGTTCACATGGTTACCACATTATTTGGCTAAAGCTATTAATCTCTGTGGTCAGGCCTGTAAAGCTGGTCTATCTGTGTAGATTGCACATACCAGGAAGTGTGTGTTCAGCTGTGTATATGTCCAAGTTGGCTTCAGTAGTCTTTAGATTCAAGAATAGTGAATAATGAAGGGTATGTGGATTTATTCTACTTGTTTTCAGTCATGTACATGACTTAGTAAATCATTATATACTGTATCCATGATATTTTTATTGAGTGGAGCTTGGAAAGTTCACAGGTTCTGGGCCTCCAGCAGAGAAAAAAGTTCATAGTTTCCAAATTATGCAGATAAAAGACTTGATTTTTGATTTGCAAATGTGAGGGTTTATCTAAATTAGATATGTAGTATTCATTTTGTTCTTAGGAATGAAATTAGAAAGGAAATTTAATGAGATAAGTCCAGTTCCCTTCCAGCTCTTTGGTCAGGATGCTTAGTGAAAATACATTTTAAAGGTATTTTAATAATAAATGCTTATTGGGTTCATTGTCATGAAATTATGATATAATTACCTTTGCTTTCTCACTCTACTATTGTACACCTGCAGATATTTATTGCCAGCATCAACTGGAGACTAGTTGTATGTATGAACTGCCCAGATTTGATGTTGAGGCTTCTTTTGTGTAAGGGATGGGCTTTGAAGAATTTTCAAATTCCAAATGTGCAGTTGAGAAAACAACCCTGAATATTGAATTTTTTTTTTAATTAAGAAAACACAGGGGCTGGGGATTTAGCTTAGTGGCAAGGCGCCTGCCTGGCAAGCGCAAGGTGTCGTGAGTTTGGTTCCTGGTACCGGAGAAAAACCAAAAAAAAAAGAAAACACAGCCTGTAAGAGTTGAGGCTTTTATCCTTAGTAGAAGATGATGTTGAATGGCAGAACTAACCAGGTTTAATAAAGCCTCGCTAACTGGAGTACTACCTGGATAATTGAAATTGTGGAGACGCCGAAAATCTCTCGTTAGCAACTGAGATCACCAGTTGATTCGTGTTACATTCGTGTTGGAGAGTGTGCCAGAATTGACTTACAGTTACTGCGAGCGAACAGAAATGAAAGCGGGGGTGGTGGTGGTGGTGGTGTGTGTGTGTGTGTGTGTGTGTGTGTGTGTGTGTATGACACTGCGACCATATTTTAGAGGTTATCTGCTGATGATAATATGACCAGTGATTACTTCTAATTGTGAATTTGTTGTAGAAGATAGAGGTGAAAAAAAAATTACCCAAATACAAGGTTAATGTTTTTCAGAGTACAGTTAGTGTCTGTTGATAAAAAAGAGAATTTTACTTGCTTAAGACCTAAGCCTAGAGTATTACCATAGCCTGAATTACTGAGTAATTTTAATGGCTAATTGCTTTTAGTAGTCTTTTTTTAAAAGAAAAATCTGTCCAAGAAACAATACCATTAGATGACTTCACAGAAACTGTATGTAAGAGGATGCAGAGAAATCCATATTACCGATAATAGAAAGCCTGTCCTGTTGTCTGTATGACTTACAGAGTGAATTACTAAACTAGAGCACGCTCTTGATTGAACTGTACTAGAATAGTTAAATTAGCCAAGTTAGCGCTGGCCTGCACAGCTGTGATGATGTATGAACTAATTCATTATGTGTTATTGATAACACTGGAGAGAGGACAACAGCTGAAACTTACTATGCCTTGTGACTTTGTGGTATTTCTTGAATATACACAGCTGTATGAGTTTGAATTTATTTTAAAAATTCCTGCCTAAGACAGACAGAGCTCCATAAGCAAGTACTGTGTTTGAAGTGACTTTGAAAATATGTGCCTTGTGCTTTAGAGATAAAGCAGTCCAATGAATTTTTTTGTACCTCTTTATACTGTTATTTACATATGAAATAAAACTAATTGCCTTCTATCTGTACTAATCTAGGGAAGTTACTGGGTCTGTGTAGAGCTATCATGGGAATCAATAGCAATCATTCATTTATTCCTCTTCTGGCTTTCCATCAATAAGCAGATTGGACTTTTTTGAAGCAGCTGTCACCTGGCTTCAGGTTGGGGTCAGTCATTTCGTGATGTATTTATGTTAGTGAAAATGAACCTTCCAAAAAGCAAAGATTTACAACTTTCAAATCAGACATTTGGAAAAAATAGCTCATAAGATTATCTGGCAGTGCCTAAAAATAATTGCATAATACATTATGTATTTTATTATTGAGCCCAAATCGTTTAATTTTCATTGTAAATAAGAAAGAGAATAGTATAACGGTTGAACATTTTTTAAAAACTTCATTTTTCACATAGTGGGTATGCAAAAACTTCTGTTTTTGACTAACAGTGCTGTGTGCCCCTGTAAATCATATTTCCTATTCCTATTTCTTTTTTTTTTTTTTTTCTGTACTGAGAATCGAATTTAGGGCCTCACGCTCTCCAGGCAAGCGCTGCACCATTGAGCTAAATCCCCAGCCCCTCCTATTTCTTGTTACACTAGAATTTCTAGATTTACATTCTAC